ATTATCACATCTTGTTTCGGCTACTGCAGGTCTCCCAGTTGGACCCCGTTTCTGCAGACTCCCACTTTGAAATGTTCCACACTCAAATACAAACACAGTTGTAGGCGTGTTAATCCCGGCTGAAAAGCCGCACCTTCTTCATTGCCGTTAGAATAGCTTATACATTTCTCCACATGGTGTCCAAGGCCCTCTGGGCTCCACCTATCTTTCTAGTCTTATCTCCTTTTAATGTCATGTGTTCTTGGGCTCAGTGCAATCACAGTGGTCCCTCTAACCCCTGCCGTGCTTTGCCAGCTCCAAGCCTCTTCCACTGACGGTCACTCCGCCCCTTGCCCCAAATCCAAATAATATCCGTTCCTCAGAAGCCAGACCAATAATCACTGCTTCCATGGACCATCCTCCTGTCCCTTCCCTCCTGAAAAGAATCTTCCTCTACTCACAGGAAGAACTTCCTTTTTGACTCTTTAATAGAAACTATCCATTCCTGCCTTAGATCTTTTATTTTGCAAAATATCAAGGCCCCTCTCCCAGATTATAAACTCCTTGAGAGCAGTCACTGGTTTTATTTCTCTTTGAAACATCTACAGTAACTAGCACAGCACCTTGCCCATAGCAAGGACACTGTATTCGAGTTTGTCAGATTCAACTGAATGGATCAGTAGTGTCAACTTCAAGAATGTTGTCACAAGCACAGAGTTTCTACAGCTAGTTTTCCTTGGAGGTGATGGTGGTGGGATGCATTTCTATTATAGTCACAAACACAGTGAGACATACACAAGAATTGACAGACATTAACAGTGAAAGAACCAATTTCTTCTTCTGAAAATGACTGAAATTCATTGATTATCCTACAAATTCGAAAGACAGAATAAGCGTGTATGTCACACAAAAACAAAAGTAAGGTAACACAAAACTGCAAATGGCCTTAGTAAAATCAGTACAGAAACATCACCTGAATTGTACATTACTGCTTCAGAAAATAAAGAACCATAGATTAATAGGAATTCCTAATTTTGTGAATGTTGCATGTATGCATTTTTTTACCAAAACAAGTATTCATTAATGAATATTTATGGAAAAGATAGGCTGTGAAGCCACGAAAGTGTTTTTAGTGTGTCATTGTCATCAGTTCTACTAAATAATTGTCATTACAAATCCAAAAATATCTTGAATGGGTAATACTGAATAATCTAGATCGCCAAACTGCATTAGAAGGGTATTAGCTGACTCAGGAGACTAATTATAACGAGGTATTGAGCTGCCTATCTCTCATCTCAATCTTAAAACCATAAACCACACCATACGGGCAGTGGCTGCCAGTCGGGTCAGTGTGGGGTAGCGAAAATAGCATTGAACAAGGGTCGGGAGCCTCAGCTCTGTCATTAACTCTGCAACCTTGGGAGCTCTTAATAAAGATCATGCTGTATGAGAAAAGCAGATCCCTTCTTTAGAGAAATACAGTTATACTAGTGGCTAACGCTGCTCATTCACAGAAAACACGTAAACTGCAGAAAGATTGCACACACACACACACACACACACACACACACACACACAGACTCACCTTTCCCAGACTAATACCTTCTTGCTTAATGGGCCAGTTTAGTCCTATTATTAACCAGATGATTATAATTTGAGCGAGTGTTATCCATCCATGTCCTAAAAACAGTAGCTGACATAAAAATGCTGAAACTGATTTCTCACCCATAGAATTTATCAGCCAGAGGTCAAGGCTAAAATTATTATATCTGCTTCTGAATCTATTTTTGAATAATAATAATAATATCCTCCTTTGGTGTTTTTAAATTTTGAAAGCACCTGCTCACTTTTTGTGTAATCCGAATAGCCCCAGAAAGTCGATGGGACACATTTTCAAAAGTTTGCTGGGATTGGTGGTGTTGGTGGGATTTCCGTCTCACATTCAGCTAAACTGGAGGACACAAAAACGATTAAGACAAAGTTTCTCACTTCAGGTTGCTTTTGATTATCGTTAAGAACAACACATTGTGTTCTAATTATTTCTTTACATATCTTAGAAGTCCTAGAGGAACATGAGGAAGGGAATTGTATTTCTACCAGAAAAGAAGCATGTGTGTGCATGGCGGGGCAGAGGGAGGGTGGGCAGAGGGAGATGTCAAAGATGGCTTCACTGAGAAGGTGACTTTGTCACTGGATTAAAGTCCTTGCTCTAACCCTTCCTAGGAGAAGCTATGAGTGTTCCTGAATCTCTGTGAGCTTTTGAGTCCTCATCAATTAAATATGGATAATAATGCTGAATTCATAGGGTTGCCAGGAGGATGGAATGAGAGAGCATACAAGAGAGCAATTTGCAAATAGCCAAGCACTCAATAAAGAGGGTATCATTATTTCCTCTTTGCAGACTCATTAACTTGGTTCACTCCAAAGGAGAGCCTATGTCCCACCTGAGACTCTGGCGGTCCTCCCCCTACACTGCCCACTGGGACTCTTAGGAAGCACGCATCCTGATAATATTTTATGGGCCGTAAACTAATGTTAACATAGTCATATAAATAAACATTCCAACATCTGAAGACTTTTCTGTGAAATGTTGCTTCTAAATCCTAAGAGGATTCTCTCTATAAAAGGAGGAACCAACAGAGCATTGTAAGGAAGGAATCATTATGGGGAAAATCATAAGTATTTAATACGGGAATAAAACAGTCAATACTTTTTTTAATAAAGGGTTTTAAACAACCTGAAGTTTCAGAGAATAAAATATGGCAGATCCTCAACTGTTTAAAGTGAATCTTAACAGAAAACATTTGAGTAGATACATGCCTTGCATTTAGTAGGTACTCAACAACTGTTGAATTCAAAGAATTAACTTGATCATTTTTACCCCTAAGATTGTAATACTAAAATTTCTCCCCTCATATAACATTTATAAATTTTGCTTTAATCTAATAAAGTATAGCCCAGTTTTAGTACTTCAAAGATAAAGTGTATTTAAATGTGAACATGTCTCACTCACATTTTTTTAAAACAACAGGAAAAAATAGAATAATAGGTCTGGGAAATCTTAAGAAAAACAATTGCATACCACGTGCCAAACAATGTGCTGGGAGATGGAGATATTCAGACATCCATGGGAAATTCACAAATAGTAGTAGTCCCTAAGTGTATCTATCTGTATTGGTTGAAGTTCTCTAGAGAAACAAAATCAATAAATGGTAGATAGATATAAGGAATTGGCTCATGCAATTAGGAAGGCTGACAAGTCCAACATCTGCAACACTGACATCTGAGTTTGAAAGCTACTAAGCAGGAGAATTCTCTCTTATTTGGGGGAGGATCAGATTTTCGCTCTATTCAAGCCTTCAACTGATTGGATGAGGCCGACCCACATTATGGCAGGCAATCTACTCAGTCTACCAACTTAAATGTTAATCTCATCCAAAAACACCCCTACAGAAACACCCAGAATAATGTTCCATCAAATATCTGGGCACCCTTTGGCCTAGTCAAGTTGACACATTAAAATTAGCCATCACACCATCCAAAAAAAAAAAATCTTTTTTCCTCTAAATTTTGGTAAGGAATTTATCACCAAGGACAAGTAACTTCAACAAAGCACCAAGAAACTGGTTCTCCTTTTAGATAAGGAGGCAGTACAAGCTGCTGGTGACCTTACGGCTCTGGCTACTGATCGAATTTCTTTGGGTCAAAGTTGATCTCCACTACTTACGAGCTATGTGACCTGGACACACTACAGTTGACCCTTGAACAACGTAAGATGAACTGCACGGGTCCACTTATATGTGGATTTTCTTCTAGGGCAGGAGTCAGGACAAGAGGACAGGACAACATCCTGTTGACCTTGTTTATTTGACCCCAGAAACAGTAACTTGAACTACCAACGGGAATTGCCTTCTAGAATGGTCCTATGGTAGAAACTGCGATTTGGGGGACTCTCTTCATCTGGGGGAGGTAGGTGGTCTCAGCTTCCTCCTCCGAAATTTCTGAGCCTTAACGTACCTCTGCTCTATCCCTACTTAACTCAAAGGCTTAAAATCTACAGTTTTTCTATGAGGGCAAAGGAAGGAAATCTGAGCATTTGGAGAAATTCTGAGAAGTCGACGAGTGAGGTTTCCCTCAAAGTCTGCCACCTCCCCCCATCCCCCCGCCCTTCCTCTTGAAAATTATTAGTCTTTTGCATCGTCAAGGTCAAGGTTAAACTCAGGCTGATACTCATCTCCTTTCTGGTCCTATTTGCCTTCTTCTGTTCTCCTCAACTGCCTCTTGCAGAACCCGCAATCTTATGCAAAATAAGTGACAACTTCGGAGGAAAGTTTAGATGTAAATACGCACCCCCCACGCCGGCATATCCCCTTTCGTCTCTCTCCGTCTTAACACTCGCTCACTCCTTCAGCCAATAGAGGAGTTTAAACATTTAAATGCGGTATCTAAACTGCATTTAAAGAATTAACCCATTTTGCCCCTCACCGGTCTAAACCACAGGGTGCCAACCGGACGTTAATTGCTTTCATCTGGTGGGGTTCCAGACCGCTCCTCCGAAGGAAGGAGCGCACATTCCTGGCACCAATTGGCTAATTCAATTTACTTCAGCAGCATTAGCCTCTGTCGGAATATTCATGAGCGGGGGAATGAGGACCCGCGGCGCAGGCAGGCAGCAGCCACTCGGGCTGGGGAAGGCGCGAGGGAGGGGAAGCGGGCAGCGCGCCGCTCTCGGGGGACGGTGACCGCGACGAGGCGGCTCTTCTCACCGGCCGGGCCGGGGGCCGCGGGAGGGCGGGGCAGGGCATCGGCGGGGTCGGCGCACCTGGCAGTGCCCAACTCTGGCAACCGCACGGAGACTCTGCAAAACATCCACAGAGGGGGTAGGGGGGTGGGGGGCCGGGGCCGGCGCCGCAAGCAGGGGCGAAGGGACCCAGCGAGACACCAGCCGCCCGGTGGCGGAGGCAGCGATGTGAGCCGGACGCCCGCCCTGGAGGAGTGTGGACCGAAGGTCTCGGGGGCGCACCTGGCAGTGCCCAACTCTGGCAACCGCACGGAGACTCTGCAAAACATCCGAAGGCAGAAAAGCTGTGACACTTCTGACAGAGGGGGTAGGGGGGTGGGGGGCCGGGGCCGGCGCCGCAAGCAGGGGCGAAGGGACCCAGCGAGACACCAGCCGCCCGGTGGCGGAGGCAGCGATGTGAGCCGGACGCCCGCCCTGGAGGAGTGTGGACCGAAGGTCTCGGGAGAGTCGCTCGCCGTGCCAGGTAAGGCGGGAGGCTCGAGTCCGGCCCCGCGAGGCTGTCCCCGGGGTCCGGGCGCGGGGTGGCGCGGGGCGCCCGGAGCCCGCACTCTGGGGTAAGCCGTCCCCAGCGTGGCGCGCCGCCTCGGCGAGCCTACGGGCCGGTCTGAGTTCGACTTCTCGGACTTTGGGGAAGAAGGGGACGCGAAGGGGCTGCCTGGGCTGGGGGAGCTGCTCCCTGGCAGCAGGGAAGCCGGGGCGCAGCGGGGCAGGTGGCGGACACGGCGCGCTGGGAGCGGGGGCCCTGCGCGCCTGGGGATGGTGACTGGGGACCCAGGAGCGAGGCTTGCGGGGGCGCTCGGGCCCGGCTTCGCCCTCGCTCGCCCCGCGGGCGGCGGCGCCTCCCTCCGGCTGCGGAGGGGAGAGGGTGGCCGCGTCCCTCGCGCGCTGTGCGCCAAGAAGGGGACTAGAAACCAGGGCTCAGGGGAGGCGCGGGCACCTACGGGGCCGATCCCGGGTCCGCGCCTCGCGATGCGCCCCCGCCCGAGCTCGGCAGCGGGAGGAGAATGTGGTGGTGTCTCGCGTCCGTGCCACCTGCCGGACATCGCCAACTCCCCGGATTTCCTGTCTCTGGGCCCCGACACTCCCGGGGAAGGCTCTGAATTGCGCGCGGGTCGTTTGGGCTTTGCTTGTTGTAGTGGCCGTGGAGGGACAGCCCGGGGTGAGGGGATCGGATCGGGTGAAAGTTTCAGATTTGCAAAGAAAACGTTACCGCGGAGTCCTAGCCTGCCTTAGCGAGAGCAGAGACTTAGCACGGGCTGCGCTGAAGCTGAAGGGAGCCTTTGCCCGGCGATCCGCCTCCGGGGCGGCAGTGGGGGCTGGAACCTGGAGGGCAGCCCAGAGGCAGCGCCAGAGCCTTGTGTTTTGTTTTGTTTTGTTTTGTTTTGTTTTCTGCTGAGACCAGGCAGGAAGTAAGAAGGGGCTAGGAACAGAGAACTGGGGAGTTGGACGCCTGGTACATTCCGAGTTGACTACGGTGTTGCCATTATTATTATTATTAATGCTGCTGTTACTGGCACGAGCAGCAGGAAGGATTTTGTTTTCCATGATTGTTAAAAATCGCCTGCAAATTGACTCTGCACTCCCCTCCCCTGAAATGAAATGCCCCCTGATCTCCTATAGTCTCTGACGTGTGTCTTTTCACCAAAGGAAATTACCCCCTTAGAGCTGTGATGGTGTCAAGGGACCCCACTAAGGAATTGAATCTACCTAAGAACAACAAAAAGTTGCAACTAGAGGGTTTTTGAACCCAAGCTTATAGGTGAATCTTATGTTCCTATCTGCTCACCTTCCTTAGCCTCCTCTGGCTCAGAACCCTGGAGGCACAGCCATCTGGAACCCCATACTTGACCCAGCTTTTCCCTTTCATGTATTTGCACAATCTGGAAAAGTGTGACCCTTGCAATCCCACTAAACATGCTCCCCGGCCAGGGCAGGCTTAGTTCCCAACCATGCAAGAAGCCACAAGGGCACCTGTGGTTGCCTCCTCTTGCCCTGATCACATCTCCTCCAAGGTGCAGGCTTGGCCAGCTGATGCAGCAGAAATCAGGGCCAGGGTGTGGGAGAACAGTGAGGCAGAGCTAAACTGAATGCAGGAGATGAGGTCAAGCCTCCTCGCTGGCCACATTGCTTCCTGCCAGAGAAAAAAAGGCAAATGAAGAGCAAGAGGGAAGTATTCTAAGTTGGAATGGAGCTCTCCGAGTCTACCGAGGCTAGGAACCAAGTTCTCAGAGTCTGATGAGGCTGTGGTCACTGACTTTGGTGTGACCTTTCCTTTCAGTACTCTTGATTTTCCCTATTTGCCGATACATGAGTAGCCATGCCTTTCTAATGGGACAGTTGTCAGGAGACGATCTAATTTTGTATCCAAAAAAATGCTTTGAGCATCCTGGGAAAGGACAGTCTATAAAATATGCCATTTGAATGTTTTGTGAAAAGTTTGCTACACGGCAGGTTAAGAGGATACATTTTTAGCATGTGTGCCATGTGGCAGTGTAAAATTAAAATGGAAAAGGAAAGTACAAACATAAAAATGACTTAGCATTCTTGACATTCTTGTGCATACTTGTAGAAAAATTATCTTTCATTTGGGGAGAGTTGCCGGGGAATTTAATCAGTGTTTATACTACTGAAACGCCCCCTTCTACCTTTCTGCCCTGTAAAATTTTATGACCCAGTTCTCACCGGAAAGGCAATGTGACTGTAGTCAGTGCTGGGGGCTGAGAGGAGAGATTGAAGGGTTGTTAGGTGAACCATCACACAGGGTTTGGAGACTGGTATGGGAAGAAAGATGCCATCAGCCTTGCAGAGCAATGTTCTAGAAAAAGCAGTTGAGCAACTTAGGCTAACAAACCCAGCACTGGTTGTCCTCCACTCTCAGATTCAGATGGGGACTCATTCAGATGGTCCAAAGAAGGCTAACCATGGTGTTTTTCTCTCCTCCATTAGGTAAATGTATTGCCTCCTTCTCACCTTTGGATTGGTACTAACTTCTCTCCCCACATCTGTCATAGCGCAATAGTTTTCCCTTGCCATCTCCAAGATACTCCAATGGTACCCTCTCAAGTCCCTTATATATTTGTAAATCTTCCCCAAGTTCTGAAGCTTCGCAAAGACCTGCAGCTGTTGGTGAATTTAAGCAAATAGTTGGAAGTAATCAAGAGAGCCACTGAAAAGTGGGTATGTTTTCCCCTGGTGGAGAAGTTATTGAATGCCTTTTGAGTTACAAAATCAGCAGTTTAGAAAAGCAAAAGGGATTTCCTTGACTTCCCTCTCACCATAAACCAGTAGTTGTATTTTTCATCCCTCATAGTAGTGAGCACTGTTTGGCTAAGCATTTTTTACAATTTTGGACTTAAAATGGGGTTTTGCCTGGTGGTGTTCTATGGAGAGAGGAAAAACGTAAAGAGATACGGAAGGAAGAACTGCGGTGGCAAGAACATAAATCAGCCAGAATATATGGGGGTGTGATGAGAATAGGTCTTTTCACCCTAAAAAAAAATGTCCACTTTGGAAGAAAAAGAAGTCTGATTATTGGCATCCAGGGCTGAAACCAAGGCAGCTGATGCCGAGAGGAGCCAAAGGGCAGTTCTTCTTAGTTTAGAAACAGCAAGACAGCCTCTGCCAAAGATTGCTGTAAACACAGAATAAAGATTTCATTGTGAGCTGGTGTGACTAGAATAATTAGACAGTTAATTGTTCATTCTGATCTGGTGGCACTGCAATCAGTAGTGCAGAGTGGTGAAAGTAAGAGCGAGAGAGAGAAATAGAGAAGAAACATTTCTCACTTTTATATTTACTTGTTTTACTTTGATGGTACTTTGGAGAATCCTGGTTAGTCTCCTCCTGCCCCCTAAAAAGAGGCATATTCCAGAATGCTGGAGAGTTCAGATACAGTGCTGCCATTATTCCCCCCGCGTTCTACTCTGGCTATAGACAAAATTTGTCATCCTCTAAACACAGCATGTGAAACTATAATAAGAATAAATTCATTAGGTAATTCCGTATTAATTAATAGACTGTAGTTCGGTATAAACCTTCATGTCAACTCAGTCAAAATATATACAGATAAGCACCAGATTTTTTTCTCCAATACTTTCTTCTCAGACATACAAGGTTTAAAGAAGTAAATATTCCATTTTTGACATTTAATTCTTTTCTATTGTGAAACAAATTGGCTACAGTGATTAATCTTTCACATTTAATTGAAGAAACGGCCTTCTCTGTATTTTCATACTAATTTGGAGACAAAAGAAAACGTATTTTAAGTGATAAAGGTGATTTTAAACAACTGAGCATCTACAGTTATCACAGGCGGTATACTGTGATTTATTGTTACTTACTAAAAGATGGCACTGTCATCGATTCCTTCTGAAATGACTTTTGCAAATGAAGACACAAGTAGGAGATTAGAGACAGCATTACATACAGGTTGTTGGGGAGAAGGGAATGAAAAACCCATGTATGCATTAAGTTCAGTCCTCCCTGAATCCTGATATTGACATGGAATATGAAGCAAAGTTCTCATTATTTGAATTTAAAAAGGAACATTTTTAAGTGCCAATGCCAAGTATAATTGTTCTGGGCATAAAGCATTGTTATAAAGAAAGCATGATAAATTAACATAAGGTCATACAGTCTCATAAAGAGAAATATTTAGTTTCTCCAAGATAGTCGTCTTGTCTCAGTTTGTTTAAGAGGTGCAACAATATCTTTACTAACCTTTACTTTCTTTTATCCATCACAAATCAAAAGGGATTGCAAAGGCAGAATACTTGCTAAAGTGTCAAAAAGTGTAAGTGGTTCAAAATTATGGAACTATCTAGCTCTCAGAAGACAAAATTCTGCTTTACAAAACACACTGTCTACAGCAATTAAAAATAGAAAATCATATTGCCACATTAAATTATTGCAACAATCCATTTTAAAGAAAATTTAGTCTTTTCTTATTTAATTGTTATCCATGGTTTGCTAACTAGTTTTTCAGAATAATCTGCCAATCTCTTGCTAACCGGGGCTGTCTAGTTAAGGACATTCCTGATTACATATGGATTAACTTAATTTTAGAACCCTGAGAACATCCAACTCAAAACATTACTCAAGTACAATGCAAAATAGATATGGTCCAATTCACCTCAAGGTACATGTAATTATTTTTTTTTTTTTTTAAGTTCAAAGAATCATAAAAGAGAGGACATCTTGTATGGAACTATATCATTGAATAACCACAATAAAAGTAAAAGAAGCTACAAACTATTATATCTTTGAAAAATACATAAAGTTTTAACAATACCACTTATTTCTTCTTCTAAAACTTAGGGCTGGCATAAAAAATACCATGCAAAAATATAAATGTTAAAAACATGCATAGCATTGCCTGAAATGAGGGTATCTTTGCTAGAATACAAAGATACTTGAATGTTTGGCAGTCTAATCAAAAGCGTGGAGTATATTCTGACTAATGCC